AGGTCCGACACAGGGCTCGATCCCAGGACCCATGAAATCATGACCTGAGCCAAAGGCAGCCACTTAACCAACTGAGCCACCCAGGTGCCCCTAAAGCCCAAATTTCTTGTGAGAAAGATTTGTTTGGAAGACAAATGGGAAATTTATTTATTTAATGTGTGTTGAGGTAATAAGGGACAAAGTCTGGACCACGTGTCCGAAAGAATGTATGGCTAGTTACTACAAGGCAGTGTTTCTCATTTGGTGATTTTTGTCTCCCATGGGATATGTGGCAGTGTCTGGAGACAGTTTGGGCTACTGGCATCAAAGGAGTAGAGATCAGTGCACAGGACATACTCTACTCTCTGACCCTCAAACAGAATTATCCAGCCCAAAATGGGATTAGTGCCACTGATGAGAAACCCTACTATTAAAAAAAAAAGGGGGGGGTGTGTGGCTATAGGAGGTATCCTGTTCCCTGAGCCTTCCAGTTTCTGTGTTCAAGTGTTAGTTTCCCCTTGTAAAAGTGTTTATTCTTGCTTGCCGTTGCTCCATCCTTGCATGTGGGGCAGAAATCAGAGGGTGGAGTAATGTAGAGATGTATAGAAAGTCCTTAAATAGTTATAATGTTCATGGTCTCTCTTTCTCTCAATCTAGTGGAAGCTGTTGCTGCCCTAGGGAACAAAGTTGTGGAAAGCCTAAGAGCACAGGATCCTTCTGAAGGTTTGAGTTTGTTGCTGAACATGTATTTAATGGTCACAGGAGCCAGGTGTATAATTACAAGTACACTTTTAACAAAGTTAGGTCAGCCTAGAAGGAAGAGTGAATGTAGAGTTTTATGGTTGGGAAGTTTTCGGCAGCGATCTCTAGTGTTCAAAATTCTGTTCATCTCCTTTACTTTTATTTACTTTTTTTTTTTTTTTTAATGGTCAAGGCTACTGTTTTTTTATTTTTTTTTTTTAAGATTTTATTTATTTATTTGACAGAGCAAGAGAGGGAGAGAGAGAGAGCACAAGTAGGGGGAGCACCAGAGGGAGAGGGAGAAGCAGACTTCCTTCTGAAGCAGGGAGCCTGATAAAGGACTTGATCCCAGGATCCCGGGATCGTGACCTGAGCCAAAGGCAGACACCCAAGCACCCTTACTTTTTTTTTTTAAGATTTTACCTACTTAGCAGGGGGAGGGGCAGAGGAAGAGGGACAAGCAGAGACTGCATGCTGAGTGCAGAGCCAGATGCAGACCTCGGTCCCACAACCCTGAGATCATGACCTGAGCTAAAATCAAGAGTCAGATGTATAACCAACTGAGCCACCCAGGCACGCCTACTTTTTATTTTTTTAAAGTTTAAGTAATCTCTACACCCAACATGGGGCTTGAACTCACACCCCAGAGATCAAAAGTCCCATGCTCTACCCACTGAGCCAGCCAGATGCCCCTTCTCTTACTTTTAAAATTGTATTCTGAATCCTCATTCTGGACTCTTAATATTTTTTTAAAGATTTTATTTATTTATTTGAGAGAGAGTACTCGCTCGTTCGCAGGGAAGAAGGGGCAGAGGGGGAAGGAGAGGGACAGGCAGACTGTGCGCCCAGTGCAGAGCCAACATGGGGCTTGATCTCAGGACCCTGACATCAGGACCCGAGCCAAAACTGAGAGTCAGACGCCCAGTGGACTGAGTCACCTAGGCGCCCCTGGACTATTGCTATTTTTTTTTTTTTAATTTTATTTATTTATTTATTTGAGAGAGAGAGAGCACATGAGAGGGGGAAGGGTCAGAGGGAGAAGCAGACTCCCCGCTGAGCAGGGAGCCTGATGCGGGACTCGATCCTGAGACTCCAGGATCATGACCTGAGCCGAAAGCAGTCGCTTAACCAACTGAGCCACCCAGGCGCCCTGGACTATTGCTATTTTTAAAAACCCATCTGTTCCCCTACTCCCACTGTAGATTTACCTCTGGTCATCTAAAGGAAACGGGAAGGTTACAGCTTTTGATTTTCTTTCAGTTTTGACCATGCTGACCAATGAAACTGGCTTTGAGATCAGTTCTTCTGATGCTACGGTGAAGATTCTCATTACAACAGTGCCACCCAATCTCCGAAAACTGGACCCAGAACTCCATTGTTAGTTTTTTTTTTTTCTATTGCTGGGATAGTTGGGGGAAAATCAAAACATGGTATGAGGTTGTTGTTGAGTTTACTTATTAGCTTGTTGCTATTCCACGTGAAACCTTCTGGACCTAAGTTGACCAGACTTTGTTGTCCCCCTCTGTAATGTGGGGAGTTTTACCAGCTTGCTAGTGAAATTGTCACAGGGGATGGCTAAGAAAGCACCTGGAGTGGAGGACTTAAGAAGGACTGAGGAAATATTTATGGAGGGAGTAGGCTCTTGGAGAAAGTGGTGGATCTTGCATGCTTGTAGATTTGATTTGGGGGAGGAGTAGTGATTTTTGGACAAGTGATTTGCCTGCTGATCTGAGGAACATGGGGTGGTTTAAGAAATTAGGAAGTTATCCTGTCTTCCTTCCAAGTTCTTGGACTATGGCAACAGGGTTGAATTGCTTAATGATGGAGTGCTTCAGTGTGGTCTGTCCTGCTTGTCTTCTAGTGGATATCAAGGTGTTGCAGAGTGCCTTAGCAGCCATCAGACATGCCCGTTGGTTTGAGGAAAATGCTTCTCAGTCCACGTGAGTCACTATTCTGAGTTAAAATAATCTAATCCTTCTAATTAGCGGTGAGTAGCCAGATGCCCCATACTTCCTGTGTTAGAACTTTTTTGGCTGTAAGTCAGGGTTGTTTTTTGGTGGTGGTGGTGGGGTGGGTTAACAAATTTAGATTGAACGAAACAGAAATGTGTAGTTTTGGAAATAGCATCAGCTCTGTACCTCAGGGATGGAAGCACATGATCTTACTCCTTTTAATCTCTGGGTCCCTCTTACCTTCAGAGTTAAAGTTCTCATCAGACTGCTGAAAGACCTGAGGATTCGTTTTCCTGGCTTTGAGCCCCTCACACCCTGGATCCTTGACCTACTCGTAAGTGAAGAAGGGCAGTTGGGAGTTCCTGCTCATCCCTCTTTTAACAGTAGTTATTCTGAAACCTACCAGGGTCTGAAATTCGGTGAAGCTGAAAATAAATTTCATGGTGGGCAGGTAATCCAGTAAATACTCAAGGTTTATTACTTCCTTAGGTTTTTAGAGTATTCAATTGAATAATTGGCTGCCCCTATGCCTTTTTGTTACTGATGTCATTTCAATACTGTGATAACGAGAGGAAATTACTGAATGAACAGCCATTTCAGAATACTTCTGAACTTTATAGCTAGGCCTCAATAACCGGTTTTCTCTTTGATGGTTTAAAGTTTACGTTTATGGGGCGCCTGGGTGGTTCAGTCGTTAAGCGTCTGCCTTCGGCTCAGGTCGTAATCCCAGGGTCCTGGGATCGAGCCCCACATCGGGCTCCCTGCTCCGCGGGGAAGCCTGCTTCTCCCTCTCCTACTCCCCCTGCTTGTGTTCCCTCTCTCGCTCTCTGTCAAATAAATAAATAAAATCTTTAAAAAATAAAGTTTACGTTTATTTGGCTAGTTATGCCAAGTTTATGGCACACCTACCAGATTGTTTATTTTCTAGGGGCACTATGCCGTGATGAACAATCCCACCAGACAGCCTTTGGCCCTAAATGTGGCATACAGGTATAACAAGCTGCTTTGGGTTTGGGGCTGGATGTAAGTTGTCTTCTGTGTTCTCTTAATGTTCTTATGTGTTTCAGGCGTTGCTTACAGATTCTGGCTGCAGGACTGTTCCTGCCAGGGTCAGTGGGTATCACTGACCCCTGTGAGAGTGGCAACTTCAGAGTACACACAGTCATGACTCTGGAACAACAGGTATTGGGACAGCTCTGATACGGTCTGTTGTGCCCCACTCGACTACTCCAGGTCAGAAGGCAAAGGGAATGTGGTCTTTAGGGGTCAGGATTTAGGGGTTCTCACAGACTTTGGTCTTGAAATTAAGTTGTCTTCATCTTTTTTTTCATGAGAACGTTCATCAGATAAGGTACTTTGATTCATCTTGCTAGTTTACTCTCACTTTGCTCTCCTTTAGGACATGGTGTGCTACACAGCCCAGACTCTGGTCCGAATCCTCTCACATGGTGGTTTTCGGAAGATTCTTGGCCAGGAGGGTGATGCCAGCTGTGAGTGATCACTGTGGGTCAGGGGTTCTTTATGCTACTCTGTGGTCTCCAAAGATGTAGTGCACTACTCAGATGTCTTGATATTTCTACTGTATAGATCATGACTTGTATGCTGGGCTACTTGGCCTGAAGTCACTTTTTCTTTTCTAGATCTTGCTTCTGAAATATCTACCTGGGATGGAGTGATAGTGACACCTTCAGAGAAGGCTTATGAGAAGCCACCAGAGAAGAAGGAAGGGGAGGAAGAGGAGGAGAATACAGAAGAACCACCTCAAGGAGAGGAAGAGGAAAGCATGGAGACTCAGGAGTGAACTTCCTTTCTCTTCACCCTCTTTCTTTTCCAAGGGGAAGACTGCAGCCTAACTAACTGCTACTGGGCTTTATATGGTGGCATTTCTGAGGGATAGGGGAGACAGAGAAAATAAACTCTATAGAAGGAAGTGTCATTCCACTGGGTTCTGATTGGCTCAGTAGCCAGAAGTCTCCCATTTATGACCTATGCCATCCACCTATAATGAAGCAGGATACCAGCTTTTCTTCCTAAGACTTCAGAGAACCTAGTTCCTGGAAACCTCTCTCAACCAGTACTTTGTTGTTGAAATGTTGTGAACTGTTAGTGTCGATTTTTTTTTTTCCCCTAAGAAAAATGATTAAAGTACTTCCTAGTAGGGCTCTTGGTCTTGTTTTTCCTTGGCATCTGGCAACTTTTCTGCTTTCTGCATTCTTCAGTGAAAGTGATACTTGAGTCTTCTCATTGTAAACACTAGATCACAATTTGGAGTTACATTTGAATTAAAGTACAAAGACTCTTGGATCCTTTCCATATACCAGAGTAAACTAAAACTGTTTTAAGCATTTATTGGATTATATGGTTCTAGCAGTACTGCTATATATTCAAGCCAAGTGCAATCAACAAAAGAGGGTAGACAGGAGTCATTCCCTTGACTTTGCCTGCCCTCTTCTCCAAATCCTCTGTAAACAAAGGAAAAAAGTCACAAGTAGAGGACATGCAACAGAACAGAACTAGGCCTGAAGGTAGAGGAGCTGGGTCTTGAGTATGTAGAGGCCTCAGCTCATTCTTGGAAGCAAGAGCCATAATAAGTCCTTTGGGATCATTAGTCCTGCTGTATACAGGTTTCTTTGGGACCCCATATAAACAGGTAAGACTTAAGTGCTTCAAGGAGAAACAACAGGGCTGCCTTTTTGATGTCCCAAGGTCTGCAGGGAGGAGTCCTGGAGGAAGCAAGGCAGCTCCGGAACAGTACTTGTGCTACTCTGAGGCAATGCATGGGTCCCATCTTCTGGCCTGTTACTTGCTTGGGGAACCAGGCGGGTAAACTCCTGAATCCAGCATTGCCCTCCTGCGGGCTGTTTCCTTGGCCACGCTGTGGTTTAGCCGCCTCAGCCGTTCCTACAAGACAAGATTTTGAATTATAACTGCTCTGTGAAAGGCTTCAGCACTCCCTGTCAACTAGGTGCTGGGAAATACCTTGGGCTTGCTCTAACGCTAAGGAATTTAACAATACAGGAGAGCAGCTGGGTACTGAGAACAAGAGTTCTATCACGCCTGACTCTAGTTAACTCCCTTTCACTGCGCTGGGGACTTTGGGATGTCCCAGAGGACTTGTAAAGAATCCCTGCTGGCGGGGAATTCTTTTACCTGCGCATTCTGGAGAATGTTGTTGACCAAGACAACTCGGCGCCGGGCATTAAGTAGCTTTTTCACGTAGGGGTCGAGGTCCAGGGCCACTTTCTGATCCTCATTGATTCGGCACAGTTCTGGGGGATGGAAGGAAGGGGCAACTAACACCTAATGGTTCCCTTCACGTTCGTAGGGAGAGCAGGCTGGTAAATGGGATGCAAACACGCCTGCACCCACACGGGCCGGCCACTAGAAACTCAGGAAAGCAGGAATCCACTGCAGCCCCGAAGCCCTGGAAGCATACGACCGAAACCCACCCCGAGCTCGGCTAAACACGAGGCCCTAAAATGCGTGGCAGTGTCGCTGGTCTAGGGGGTGCTGACTCACCAGTAGCTAGGTTGTCAATTTGTTCTCGTAGCTCTACCTGGCTCTCTCTGCAAAGAAGTACGAGGCCCACACTGTCCGTTAATGGGACTCGAAAAACCCAGTCCCCGAGGGACTCCCCAAGCGCCGGAGGAAGCCATCACCACCCGCGGCTTCCCGCCCACCGGCCGGGCCTCCCGACAGTCCCAGCCGGGACTGGCCCCTTCCGGCACAGGCCCCGCCCCTTCCGGCACAGGCCCGCCCCTTCCGGCACAGGCCCCGCCCCTTCCGGCACAGGCCCCCTTTCCCCCGGGGAGCGGCCCCGCCCCGCCCCTCCCTCTCGGACCTGACGGCGTGGACGTGAGAGTCCAGCTGCTGCACAGCCGGTCGCAGGAACTCGAGGAGCCCCTCGGCGAAGAGGTCGCGGCCTGCGGGACCCGCCACTGGGGTCCCTGCCCCGGACACAGCGGCGGAACCAGCCGCAGCCATCATGAGCAGCCCTTCCGCCGGGAACGTGCCGCGCGGGCCGCCGGGAACTGGAGTCGCTCTGAAGTGCGCCACCAGGGGACGTCCGGGAGCTGCCGGCTGGACCCAACCTGGGGACTTCTGGGAAACCGAGTCTGCGCGATCGGGGGCGGGGCGGGCGGAGCGGCAGTTCCTTGGAGGCCCCGGAGAGGCGGTGTTGGGGGGCGTCTCCAGACCTCCGGGGGGCTGGGAGGAGCAATTTTGAGGGCGGCTATCTTTGGTGTTCTGCGGAGGTGAAAAAGAAATGCTTGTCTCCCCGGTTGCGCTTAGCCCTCCCATGCTAGCCGGATTGTATTCATAGTATATATAGTTAAAGATTTCTAACTTGGAGAGTGTACTTTTTTAATGGCACCCTAGTGTCTACAAAACTGCATAGGAGTATTATTAAGTCTTAAAAGGGAATGCAATTCTGATACATGCCACCATGTGGATGAGCTTTGGAGACTATGCTGAGTGAAATAAGCAGAGCAGAAGGACAAATACTGTCTGGTTATTACATGAAATACCCAAAGCGGTCAAATTCATGAAGATAAAATATGGTTTTAGGTCTCTATCAGAACAGGGTTGCCAGGGGAATTACTGTTTAATGGTTAGAGTTTCAGTGTGGGATGATTAAAAAGTTCTAGAGATGAGTAATGATGACACAGTAGTGTGCATTTACTTAATGGCAATGAACTGTACACTTAAAAATGGTTAAAGTGGTAAATTTTATGTGCATTTTGCCACAGTAAAGCAAAACTTAAAACCTACAATATTTTCATTTTTTCTTTCCTTCAAAAAGTTTCCTTAGTTTTGTTGTGTTTTCATGGCTTTCCAGAGTTTACATGTCTTGTCGAATTCTCAACAAAGGGCACAGTCTCTTAAGCTCTGGAGTGTTCCAGTGGCTTGCAGTCCTGTGGCCCTGAGGTAAGGTGTGTGTGCTCCTGGAGGGCAAAGGGGTCCCCAGAGATAAATGGCACCAGAATGTTCAGCCTTGAGCTTCATCCTCAGGAATAAAAGAAGAGGTGTTTAAATCACTGTGGGAGAGTGGTAGTCCACAGCTGGGAACTTGAGGCTCCAAGTGTGGTAACTTTTAAAGCCTTGTACACTTTTTGTTGTTCATTATCTTTATTTCTCTGTATCTTTCCCTCTAGTGATTAGAGCTAAAAGTCTCCTGAGAGGCTGGAGGCTTATTATGGGAGTCAGCAACGGGACGAGGGTAGCTAGGGTCACTAGCCTGCTCCACAGTCAGGCCTAGCGAGGAGGAAGCCCAGAGGATAGAGCATGGTGACAGTGTTGAAGAGGAAGGAATAAGGGCTAAGTCCTTGAGGCCTGTACTGGAGAGAGAACAGGGCTGGTCTGGGCAGGGAAAGGATAGTGGCTCAGTGTCTAGACAAAATGCTCCCAAGTTGGGCCACAGTCCTTTCAGGTACCTTTTTGAAGTAAGGTTGTGAGATTTGGAAAACAGAACAATCAGAAAAATTCTGGGACACTAGGTAAATTTGAAGTTCAGATAAACAACATTTTTTTTTTTTAGATTTTATTTATTTATTTATTTGAAAGAGAGTGGAGAGGGGAGCACAGAGTCCCATACTCCCCGCTGAGCATGGGTCCTGATGTGGGCTCGATCTCATGACCCTGAGATCATGGCCCTTGAAGCCAAAATCAAGAGTCAGATGCCTGGGGTGCCTGGGTGGCTCAGTTAGTTAAGCATCTGCCTTGGGCTCAGGCCATGATCCCAGGACTCTGGGATTAAGCCTCACATCCGCAGGGAGCCTGCTTCTCCCTCTCCTCCCTGCTGGTGCTCCCTCTCGCTATCTCTCTCTCTCAAATAAATAAATAAAATAAAATCTTTTTTTTTAAAGATTTTATTTATTTATTTGACAGAGAGAGACACAGCAAGAGAGGGAGCACCAGCAGGGGGAGTGGGAGAGGGAGAAGCAGGCTTCCCGCCGAGCAGGGAGCCCGATGCGGGGCTCGATCCCAGGACCTGGAATCATGACCTGAGCCGAAGACAGACGCCTAACGACTGAGCCACCCAGGCGCCCCAAATGAAATAAAATCGTAAAAAAAAAAAAACAAAAAACTCTACCCCCAACGTGGGGCTTGAACTCACCACCCTGAGATCAAGAGACTCATTCATGCTCCACCAACTGAGCCACCCAGGCGCCCCTGAAAGGGACTTTAGAATCCATCTTTCCGCGGTTTCTTGGATACCTCTGTAAGGGAGACCAGGCAAGGGTCTGTTGAAAGGAAAACCAAGGGCCTAAGATGGGGTCACTTATGTCAGGCCAAGTCACCAGACCTGGGCTTTATACTTAACCTAATTGTAGTTTCAACCTCCCCCAGAAATGTAGTTTTAACTGGTCAGTCAGGAATTTTCTGGTCAGCACCAATCAGGCAACCTGTCACAAGGGCCCTCCCCATACCCTCCTCGCCCCCCCAAAGGAAGGTGAGGTCATCTGCAGGCTAAGACCCCTCTGCCCTTCCCCCCAGGGAAGGTGACCTTGCCTGGAGCAGTCCTCTCTTCTACTAAGAACTTTTTGCCTCACCCTCCTTCCTACAAAACCCTTCCATTTTTGTACAACTCCTCAGAGTTGCCCTCTCCTTGCTGGATGGGATGATGCTTGATTCACGAATTACTTAATAGAGCCAATTAGATCT